ACCAAGCATCTCCCACCACGCGATTGAGCAACTTCTTCTTTTTCCCACTACCTACCTGTGTGAGTTGGCGTTCTCTACTCTGGTTTACATGAAGAACAACAGGAGGTCACGGCTCTCTGTTGAACAGGACTTGCGAGTGGCCCTCTCCTCAGTGCCACCAAGGATTAAAAAAATCTGCTCGCCCCGACAGGCACATGTATCTCACTAATTTGTAAGTCGGCAAAATATTTACAATTGCACATGTTTCAATGCTGATTTCTGAAATGTTACATTTATAATTTGTAGTTCAGGACCATGGACAGTGCAGCTTCCTTGCATTGACAGTTCTCANCACACGGTACAAATAGTGTAATAAGTGTCCTCGCTGTCACTGAGGAACTGAGGTCCAGAAGGATGATGACAGAGGAGAGGGAGGCTGCTTTAGCAGTGTGCAGTTCCTCAGTGACAGCGAGGACACTTATTACACTATTTGTACCGTGTGGTCTCTGTAAATCCCTGGATTCTCTTCCCTTGTTTGGTCTCTCCCTCGTTTCCCATCCTCTGTTCAATTATCAGAGTTTTTCATTTTTAGTGAATATTTTGGCTATTAGTTCTGCTTTATCTTCATGTGATGTTGCTATCCCATCTCCATCTGTAAATACTGGGTAATGCTTGTTTTCTTTGCCTTTTTTTACAACCTTCCTTGCCTTTGCCTGTGTCCTTTTATAATCAATTACGTTTAGAAAACGATGGGTTCACTTTAACCATTTTAAAGCTTAATTCCTTTCTTTAAAGGCTTTCTTACATTAATCTGACCACCATGAAACTGCTTTTTTATTAATTTTCCCTTTGCTTCTGGGTATTGATAGATTTGCAGCTTTGATTATAACTTCTCTACATTTGTTATCATTTACTTCATGTTTTCTTTATTGTTATTTATTAGCTGCATAAACTTACATTATTTTCCTATTCATGACATGGTTTAGTAAGCCAGAGAAGAGAGGGAGGGGAAGTGTTTGTTACGTCTTTGTTATATAACAGTGTTAGATTACTTCCATATACAGAGGAGGGAAACTAACTAAGTACATTTACTCAAGTACTGTACTTAAGTATAATCTGAAGGTACTTGTACTTTACTTGAGTATTTACATTTAATGTTACTATGTACTTCTATTCCACTACATTTATTAACAGCTTTTAAACAAAATCTAAAATGAAACTAGTGTACTAACTCTTTAAGACACAGCAGAGTCAAATTATTTAAATATTTCCAAAACAATTTTTAAATGTTTTAATTATAAATATTTTTAGAAAATGTTATTAAATAGAATTTTGCATCACGTTTATAAAAAATTTAATATTTGTAAATGTTGTATTTTTTATTTTACATTTTATTCAAGTTTTTTTTATATATATATTTGATTGTATTTATATAAAATATTCATGTTTGTAAAAATAACTATTTTTAATTCTAATAGTTATTTTATTATTATTTTATGTATATTTGTATCCCAATTTTTGTATTTACTTATTGACATCTGCATCTGAATATTGTACTAAACTAACCAATTGTTACAAAAAAAACTTACAAAACAAATGTGGGAGTGTCAGTGTTGATAGTTCTTAGAGATTAATGGATTAACATTTGCAAACTGATGTCATATACTGACAGAGCTCCTCCCTCACCCGAGACAAACCAGGAAACAGTTTGTTATTCTCCCTCACTGCAGCGAGACAGACGGACTGAAAAACAGACGATCAGATTCACCTTCAGGCCAAACTAACAACTTCCTCTGAGTTCAGCTACAGGAGAGAAAACACTGCTGCTTCAACCTGCGGACCCTCCACCCCCTGAAGGTGAGTCTCCAAACATCACTCAAAGTGAATTTCAGTGAAGTCAGTAGAGGAGGGGGAGGGGAGCCATGACTGACTGTACTTCCTGTCTGCTGTGTTTCAGCTTCACTCAGAGACAACATGGCTTCCAGGTTAGAGGAAGATCTCTGCTGTCCGGTCTGTCAGGACGTCTTTAGAGATCCTGTTCTTCTGTCCTGTAGCCACAGCTTCTGTAAAGCCTGTCTGCAGACCTGGTGGGATGGGGAAAGAAGTAAAGGAGTGTCCAGTTTGTAAGAGAAAATCCTCCAAAGACGAACCTCCCGGTAACCTGGTGTTGAAGAACCTGTGTGAGACCTTCTTACAGGAGAAAGACCAGAGACCTCCAGAGGCTCTCTGCAGTCTGCACTCTGAGAGACTCAGACTCTTCTGTCTGGACCATCAGCAGCCAGTGTGCCTCGTCTGCAGAGACTCAAGAACACACACCAACCACAGTTTCAGACCCATCGAAGAAGCTGCACGACAATACAAGAAGGAGCTTCAGGAAACTCTGCAGCCCTTAAAGGAGAAGTTAGAGACTTTTGAAGAAGTTCAAGTGAAGTGTGCTCACACAGCAGGACACATGAAGCTCCAGGCTCAACACACAGAGACGCAGATTAAGGAGCAGTTTCAGAAACTTCACCAGTTTCTAGAAGAGGAAGAGGAGGCCAGGATGGCTGCACTGAGGGAGGAAGAGGAGCAGAAGAGGAGGATGATGGAGGAGAAGATGGAGGCTGTGAGCAGAGAGATAGCAGCTCTTTCACACACAGTCAGAGCCACAGAGGAGGAGCTGAGAGCTGAAGACGTCTCCTTCCTGCACAACTACAAGGCTGCAGTGGAGAGGCTGCAGCGCCCCCTGCTGGAGGCTCCACAGCTGCCCTCAGGAGCTCTGATAGACCAAGCGTCGGTGGCGATCACACCTCAACGTCAATCATGCGCTCCCTATGCCGACTATGAACGCGTATCAAGACAATACCTAGTCCATAGTTGTTAGGACGGTCATTGCAATGACTATAATAGTTACGATGCAAATCAATATCGATATATACTAACGATGACAATGTTACCAACACTACACCAATCGATTGTAAGACATCGATGCGGCCCAGTGAGTGGTTCTATCGACCGGGTCAAGAGGGTGACCAAGAGGAGTGTGGTGTCAGGTAAAGAGAGCTACCGGCAATAAAGAAGATTAGGAACCGACGAGGACCAGAGAACCTGCGGATCGCCCGAGTATTAATATTCCAACACCAGGCAGTATACGTAAGCTATAAGTACAAGTTTGGAGAGACACAGTTTTGATCGTAACACTAGGTACAATAATTACGCAAATTGTGCCGGCGAGGGGGGGAACACAGGGGACAATGCAGTGGCCGCCCTCCAGTGCACGGCTCCGGAAAAAATACGCTTCACTTGTAAAAGAATTTTTTGCTGCGCGGTCTACAGTGACATCACATATAAAGACAATAAAAAAATTTTAATCACATAGTAACGTAAGAAGGATGCGTATAAGGTGTCCACAGAATATTGGACCCTTTAACGAGAATTCATTTTATGTCACGTCCAATTTTTGTAAATTTTACAAAAAGGTTCGGAGATCAATTGTGGACTTGGACCCCTTTGTTATTAATTACATCCGGATGTACTGAATCTTACACTTGTATAACTTGGTTTACTTCCTTACGTTCCAATTTTTTAAACTAGGGTTATCAAAATATAAAAACTACTTCTGAATAAAAAGTAAACAGAGTATCGTTAGAAAGACTACAGTATAGATACTAAAGAAACGAGACAGAGTACAAGTGGTCTTTAATATAATTTACTTAGGATAACTCCTGTTCTTGTGCCTTAGATTGACTTATGACTATAATACTATTTTCTAGGTATGTACAAAACACATTTTCTGTAGGGAATTCCACAAAAAATACTCTCGTGACGTTATATTTCCGGAGATGTCTATTCTACTACTAATACCGACTTTGAACTATTCTTCGGGAGTAAAGAAGTATCTAAAGTAAACTACTACGTAATGAAATCTAATAACAAGATGAAGGGATTACTGGTTATTTTCCGTCTGATTATTATAGACAAAGGTCTGAAAACGTACAAAAAAAAAGTCGGAAAATCTACATTAATTTAATGTTTTACTGCATTACAACACCACTTTTCTCCATTTCACAAGAGGGCAAACACGTCCGTCTGCTCAAAGGTCAGTCCTCTGACTTCTCTTCTTCTTCTCCTTCTTCTCCCTTCGACGAAGTAGTACGCCTAGGAGACTCCCATTTGACGTGTGTGAGGAGTGTGTGTGAGGTCGGGTAGGTTAGTGAAGGGTATTAGAGAGTGAACTCGTTTTATCCTTTTTCAGAAGACCTCCAAAAGTACTAGTGAAAGGACGAAGCCTTAGGAAGTCTTATTTTCGGGGCAGGAGTTAAAATAAACCTACTTAAGACGTTTGTTTTGAATAGTCTGACTGAATGTTGTATGTTTTTCGTGAAATGTGCATTGTGACTTCCTATCACATAATATATTTTCTGTATGTTAGGTTGGTGTATAAGTGCACGTGACGAAACAAAATTTGACAAGAGTGACGTCTACCACCTGAAGCATCGTCGTCGTGAGGCACGTAAAGAGGTGTTATTTTCGTCTAAATCGCCGTTTAATTCTTCAATAAAACACGAGTGATCAAACGAATAGAAAATACGGATTTCACAAAAAAATCACAAAGATGTCACAACAAGAGAGAAGAGTGAGCGTGTGTGCTGTGTGTGTGTGTCCTCCCTTCTTTGATTGTGCATACTTGTTTGCTATGTGTTGTGAGGAGTAGTGTCGGTGTAATACATCTGGTAGCGATGTCTAGCGTATACGCTCGACTGAAGTTGTATGAGTCTTGATCATCCGTGTGGAGTGAGATAGGGTTGAGTTAGCGCGTCCTGATGAGAGAATCTGAGAGCTCGTGTAGCTTTAGGGGTAGATGTATGTCTTCTCATGTAGTTGTGGCTCACGTGATGTAGACTGATTGATGGATGGACTGTGGCGGTTGTTCCTCAGTCAGTAGTGATGTCAAATCCCGAAGTAGGTGGTTGTACCCGCTCGTTTGTTATATTGACTGACCAAGTCTTGTGTGTAGTGAAAGTGTGCGTGAGACGTGTCTAGAAGAGTTTCCGTAAGTCATGTCATTGAGTGGAATGAAATTTTGGTTGTAGAGTAGACTAATATAGGACAGACATATACATGCAAAGCAGGGCCCCTCATAAATCTTGGGTCATCAGCAAACACATACAACAACTCTCTTAGCAAGCTACAACACCACTAATTGTTATCAACAATCTACTAGATCTCTGAACACAGTACAACATTACTTGCCATTCTACTTTCTACTATCACGACTAAGAAACATCAAACCTCGACGAGGTATTGAACTGCACACCCTAACATACTGTATAATAAATAAATAAAGGGTAAGTACGTAGCATCTAGACGTATGGCGACATACACTTATGCACTTTAAATATGCTGTATCAAAAGTTATTTTGTCTTTCCACTGATATTGACTGTATACTTACTATAACGACATTAACACACCACACTCTCAGATCACAACTACACCATCTAGTAGACTACACCATATATAGAGATAGGAGATTTCCTATCACAAGACCAGATACTACACCTACCTAGTCACATCACCAACTAGGAGACCCACTACTCTTCACAGTCGATTTACAGCGCGAAGCAAAAATACCTATTTCCCACCTGCATACTAGTTTTTCGTCTAATAGTACTATTAAGCAAGCGCTATCTGTACTGACCTCTATCTTTGTCCAACACATCATCTATACTTCACTGTCGTCCCACACCTAGACAACTACACAGACGACCACTATACGCGTAACAAGAGGAGGAGAGTATCTACACACTCTATCTTGACATCAGGGTCACCTACACATCATCTACACCTACGGACCAATTACAGACACATGAGCGAGCACATACGACATCGACGCATGTCGGTGGCAGCCACATGGCAACAGTCCAGCCGACTACATACGACAGCGCGTAACACGATCGGAGTTCTACCACACATAACATCCTTTGTAGAAGAGTCCACTTCACACACACGTATCACACACACAAGTACACCACCAACACAGCCAAACACCACGACCACTAGCATCTACCTAGACCTGTGGACGACACAGCCACACAGCGAGACGACGTACCTACACAACGTAGCACTAGCGACAGCGACACCTTACGAGCAACGATCCACCTCATCTCACACTACACAACCCACCCCTCCGAGAGCATACACAACCAACAGTAGGACGACCATCCAAACTCGGCAACACACAACACACCATCACTAGACCACACTCAGAGAGCTAGACAGACCGTACGCGACGTGAGCAGAACCGTCCAGCAGAACGGAGAACCTTGTCTGAGACTATCTGTGTGGGCTCACGACGACGGACACACACATACACACGAGCCTCATGGGCCTTACTACGAGTCGACCCACTCAGGGACTAGTTCGGGAGTCTACAAAGAGCAAGGACGACCGGCCACACATACAGGGAGTCACTGACACTCCACGAGGAGAAGCCGAAGGAGAACGAACCTTCTGTATCTATTGGAAAAAATCAGGACCTACCACTACAGTCCACAACACCGACGAGACGATTTCTGACTTTGAGACGTCGAGACCAGTCTAGAAGTCTAATCCTCTATACTATACCATATTTGTCACCACACCTACCTACTTGATTTCCTGTCAAGACCGGGACCTACACGTACTACACTCTCACCAATGTAGTACAGGTCGGACAACAGTACGATACTATCTACATACTTCGACTCCAACGT